AATGTGTTCCATAAACATGACAACAAAGTTGGTATAAACCATAAACATCATTCTTCAACAATTACAAAAGGTTGACATTAGTTTCATGACCAAAGGGGCTAAAAAACCAAAATAAAACCGTTACAACAAACTACTTTTAAACCATTACATCCAAATGCACAAAAGTGGTGCTAAACCAAAAGATATGTTTTTAAACAAAATACACTAATTCCTGCATTGACTGCCACCTCCATTCCCTCCTTGACTGCTTCCTGCATTCCCTCCTTGATTGCTTCCTGCATTCCCACCTTCACCCTTGCAAGTCCTTGAGTTATGACCCCTATTGTTGCACTTCCCACACCTGACACTAACAAACTTTCTGGTAAATTTTTCAGGTTCACTTGCACCATGATTATGCATCTGTCTATCATATTTTTCATCTGCACTTCTCTTTCTCTTGGTCTTAGGTCTCCCAGGTTGATTGTGATGTGGTGGTGGTGTTAATTGAAATGGACAGGTACTTTTTGGCCACATGGCTCTACCCTTTATAGGGTCCACAGTGTAATAGTAAGCTTCATTCCATGTTTGAAGCCAATACACTTTATTGACATAAGTGTAAAGCTCCCCAACTTTGTCTCCACTATCAGCCATTTCATGTATTGTAGCTATGGCATGTCTGCATGGAATCCCATTCAATTCCCACCTTCTACATGTACATGACATATTTGTCATGTCAACCACATGCTGGTCATGCCAAGGACCATAAACTTCATACTTTGCAGTCCCATTCCATCTAGCTCTATATTGGACTGAAGCTTCCCTATTTCTCTCAAGTAACTTTGATGCTGTTGGAGTGAGTGGACCTGGAGCTTTGGACATCACTTTCTTCACATTGCAAATCCTCTTCATAAGGTACTGCCTGATGTACTCAAGACAACTTATGATGGGCTTATTCCTATCATGAATAAGCTTACTGTTGAAAACCTCACACAAATTGTTGAGCAATATATCTGATCCTGCTCTGCCTGTATTAAACAAGAACATTATATGAACTAAATCATATACAATGAGCACTAGTAAAGCTTCACCTAAGGTAGGGAATATAACCTGAAAAGTGGCTTCTGGCCCAATGGTGAGGGGGGATTTTCTTCAACCACTCAAAAGCATCCTTATCAAACTTGTTAAGTTCATTCATGTAGTGTTCAAATTCTGGTACTGTGGTTGCTATTGCACACTGCCATAAGTGATCTTTATACTCTTTTGTTTTCTATTTTTTCCTCATGTTCTCATAGATATGTCTTAGACAGAATCGATGCTCAGCTTGTGGGTATAGTTGTGCAATAGCAGGTAAGAGTCCCTGTAAAGGATTATCCCACATAATCATTGCAACATTCATATACAAATAAACTATTAGTAATACAAAAAGAAGAAAATAGTACCTTTTGTCTATCACTCATGAAAGTAAAGTTAGAATTTGAGTACAACTTTAAGTCATCTCCCAAGCATTCTAGAAACCATTTCAAGCTACTCATATTTTCAGTCTCAACAATGGCATATGCAAGTGGGTATATGTCATTGTTTGAATCCAATCCAACTGATGTGAGTACTTGGCCTGGAAATGGTCCTTTCATAAAAGCACCATCTAGTCGCAGAATATCTCTTAAGCCTGCTTTAAACCCTTTCTTTAATGCCCCTAAGAAAATATACACCCTTTTAAACTGCCTTGTTTCTCTAGCACTGTTAGGCTCATTAACAACCTCAAGCTTCACAGTTGTACCCACATTAGTTGCTTGTAGTTCCATAAGATAATCTCTTAACACCTCGTATTGCTTTGTGTAGTCACCACTCACTTGCTTTGTAGTTGTTGCTTTTGCGCTCTGTACTTTGTGTATGGACACACCAACTTGAAGCCTCTTCTGAACCTGGTCTTGAATGCTTCGAAGGGGTACTGTAGGGTTAGACTCGACCATGTCTAAGATTTCTGCAGATATATACTTCGCAGTGCAAGCCCTAAGTTTTCTAGTTTGAAGACAAGTATGTTTGTCCAGTAAAGTTTTCACATACCAATAATCACTATCTTTTGACCTTGAAGTTTGCATTGACCAAGAACAATTCACTTGATTGCCCTTACCTACCCCACTTGCATTTACATTAGGTACATTACCTTTACACACAACCCTAAGCCTTGTTTTGTCGTTTTTCTTGAAGCCAAGATTCCTTCTAGTCTCAATGGCAAGTTTGTTGACTTTTTCCTTAATTTCCTCTTTACTTTTATACTTTTGACCCACTTGAAAAGTAACTGCATGGACTTCACCAAGAGATCACTTCTTTTCCTTCACCATCTGTTTTAATATTGCTTTCCTCCTTTCATCATCAGTATCTTCACCTAATGAGTCCCATTCATCATTATCAATTACTTCAACATCTTCAGTATCAACATCTTCCTTTTCAGTCTCAACACCCTTTCCTCTGTCAACATATTCAACATCTAGATCAACATTCATATAGAAATCACTCATGTCCACCTCAATATCACTTACATAATTTTCTTCATCTTCAAGAAAGTCACTATCTTCCTCACTCCCTTCACTACCCCCTTCACTACCTCCTTCACCAAGTCCTTCACAAACTCCCTCACTTTCAAATTGAACTTCACCTAGTCCTGTGCCAAGTTCTGCACCAACTCCCATACTCTGATTATTACCATCATTAAAAGTATATTGATCAAAGAAAGGATCAAAGTCTTCAAATTGAAATGGTTGGTCATCAAAGGTATCAAACACTCTTGTATTTACTTCTTGGTCACCAAGATTTGCACCTTGATCATGAACTTCTGTATCTTGATCACCAACAGGTGCACCTTGATCACTAATATTTGCACCTTCATTACCAATTTCAACATATGCATCTTGATCACCAACAATTGCAGTGTGTTCCAAGTTGAAACACAATTTCTTACTACATGATTGACTCCCTTCAACTAACCTCAATCTCCTATCTGAATTGTATTCGGGTGTCTCATACCTTACCAAACACAATTCAAGATTTGGGACATCTTCCTGGTTTTGGTTTACTGGATGCAAATCAACCACTGCTGAATTTGATTTTGGTATGGGCACATCATCTGCTATTTCCTCAATTATGACCCTAGGTTTAACTCTTGGAGACATAAAGTATGTAAGTAACTTAGTTTCATTATGTTCAGTGTATACCTTGATGATCTTATGATGTTCAATGTACAGTGCAAGACTAAGTACATCAACATCATTCCCTAGAGCTCTAAGACCAAACTCCAAATCTCCATTTGGCAATTGATAGTGGTAGTAAATGACTGGTGGTACCTCATAACCAAGCTTCAGCATCACCTCGTCCAACTCATGCACAGAGAACTCATCCATGTCTACCAAGTCAACATGGTCTAATTTTCCTTCAATGTAGCTTATCCCTGGGAATTTTGTGAACCTCCCTCCATGATGGAGCTCAATAGTGAACATCGTGGGATATCCTTCTGTAAAAATCATGAACCAAACCAAAAAAAACATTACTTTATATGGATTGTAAAAGATTTTTTTTTGTTTCAAAGAAATATGTAAGAAACAGAGTGCGTTACCGTAAATTCGGATTGCATCAAAACACTGATTTCTTGGCCTGATTTCCCACATTTGGAGCATACTCGTGGATTCGAACTTACGATTGAAGTAGATGATCAAATGCAGGATTTCAAGAAACGATTAGGGTTTTCGATCAACAAAGTGGGTTTAGTGGGTAGAGTGAAGGGTCATTAACTGTGTATATCATTCAATATGGCGGTAATCGATGATATAGAGGTGGAAAGACGAAAATACCCCCGTCTATATTGCAGGTAACAGAGCATATGGACGGAAGTTAGTGTGAGGGACCAAAAACAATGGAAAAATCCAATTTTGGACCAGTGGTGCATCAAGGTTTTGTTTTGGACCAAAGTCACATAATTTTGCCAAACACAGGGACCATTTTTGCAATTTTGTCGAAAGGTGCTGAATAAAAAATTAATTTCCATTATTATTGAAGGTGCTCCTTAGAGTATGTTCACTTGCATATTTATCTATCATAATCCCTTATAAATTTAAATTTGAAATCAGTTGTAAAATATTTAATATTGAAAACAATTGTATAAATATAAATAGATTTAAGTTATAAGAGTCTAAAAAACATTTCTTAATAAACAATAATATTACTTGGATCACAAAGTTTTATTTATAAAAACAAGTAAATATTATAATTATAAAATAATAATAATAGTAATGTATGTTTTACAATTTTTTTGAACGACTTACACTCGTTAACCCTATTACTTAATTTACACATTTGTCTGTTACGAAATACGAACCTCTTTTGAACGCGCTATCAAAATCAAAATGAAGGCGGGAAACAAAATCACTACTTCAACTACTTCCCAGTTTCAATCAAATAGATCCCTACGGAAGCAACGAAGGTCGTCCAGTGGTCCAATGGGCAGAAATCAATGAATTTTGTTCTAAAACTTGAAATACACCAAACACAATCACTTCTCAGTTGCAATCAGGTAAAATGAATGTCTCGATTATGTGATTTTTATTGATCTGACATCTCAAATTTGGATTAATCGATTATCTAGGGTTTTAAAGTTATTATGATATCATTTATTCGTGATCCTATTGGGTTCTATTCGTGTTCTTGTTTGTTAAATATCAATTTCAACCACCAGTGCGATACAGCCAAGATCCCCCTAATTTTAGAACTGCAAGGAAAATGAAACACACAAAGTGTTATTTTATTTCATTGTTTGGATAATTAGATGTTCAAGAAACATAAAAACATCTTCTGTTACAATTGTAAATGTAATTGCATATTGAAATTGGTATTCTGCCAAACGCACTCTTTCACTGTATGTAGAAGTCGTACCTTCTTGTTGTTCACAAACTGTTTGATAAAATGTCTGTGTATGCCTTAACATTTTGTTTGTTATTCTGATTTCTGAATGAATTTTCAGTAAAAGAGGCATGGAGCTGTCCAAGAAAGTAAATGCATCAGAGCATGAAGATGGTGTTGATAAGATCAGTAGCTTACCAGACCCTGTTCTTCAGCTGATTCTTTCAGGTCTTCCAACTACCGAAGAAGTAATTCGAACCAGCATTCTGTCAACACGATGGAAGTATGTGTGGACTTCAATTCCCTCCATTGACATAGATTATTCTAGAGGATCGAAATTTTTAAGGAACAAATTAAAAAAGTTTGTTGATGGGGTTTTAGAAAAGGGTTCCCTTGATTTGGAGAGTGTTCGTTTATGTTGTTCGGAACATTACAGTATGCAGATTGTACAAAAGTGGATTCATGCTGTTGTTAAGAGAAACATTAAACAACTTCACTTGTTGTTTTGCTGTGGACATTGGCTTAAAAGTTTACATTTGCCCGATTGTCTTATGACTTGTGGTTCATTAGAGGTATTCAGGTTGTATTTGTACAAACGGCGTTTAAATTTTTTCAAGTTGACAGGGTTTTCAGGACTTAGGGTTCTTGAGTTGAACAATTTTGTGTTAGCATACGACTCTGTGTACGTATATGATTTTCTCAAAGGGTTGCCATTGCTTGAGGATTTGAGTTTGATAGACTGCATGATGAAGAAACTCGTGTTTCTTTGTATTTCATGTCCGAATCTCAAGAATCCCAGACTTGATAACCGGAATATCTCAGAGTTGTATAATACTGAGAGTATCTGTGGTCGCATAGAGATTGTTTGCCCAAAATTGGTGTTTTTTGAGTTTGAAGCTTTTAAAGCTTATAAGTATATCTTCAAAAGTCTGGTTTCATTGAAGAGAGCTGTGATTCATCCTGAAGACTTTCCATATAAATATATGGAGCGCAAGTTTCGGGGAAATGGTCTTTTAGAATCTTTGTCCACCAGTATCGACATCTTCTGTTTCTCATTATATCCCTCAGGTAGTTGCTTATTCTCTTTATTTATAAATCTTCATTTTAGTTAAAAATGTGTATGCATTGTAAATTGTGATAACATATTAATTATCCATGAGTTGTGATTAAACAAGCAGTTGTACCTAATCTCAAGACATTGGAGCTAACCACAGGAATTCATGATAGCCCCATAATCAGTAAACTCATCAGATTCCTCACACGTCTTCCTCAATTGGAGTCTCTCAATTTGATCATTGAAGAGGTATTCTGACTATTCTCATATAATATCTGCTTATAGTTTATCAAATCAGTAAAATAAAATAATCTGGTGTCATAAGGTGCCTAAACTGTAGTTAAAGGCTTACAACCTTCTAAATCTTTTTATTTATTTGTAATATATTTAAGTGTATTAATTGTTTTTAGGGTTATAAGAAAATTAGACAAAGAAGTTTTTCTCAGGTTGACCTAATCTTACAAGACACCTTTCGATCAAATTTATATTTTTGAACCCATTATATTATGTGTCTCATCATCTGACCCATTTTGCCATATAGGCATTTAATAGGAGATACACAAATGTCATATAGACTTTAGACAAAATTTCATCAACCCTTTTTTTTCGGGTGAAAAGGATTCCAACTTGGGACATTTGCATTATCCTAGTAATATGAAAAAGCAATTGAGCCCACTAACTACATTTTTTAAGAATTCAAAATTTTAGTTTGGATCTTTGCACCTCAACATGAAAACTTAATCTTTTCTAGGACCATTTTCTCTGGGAAGACTGGAAGTTGGATGAAGCTGAGAGAAGAGGAATTTTGACGCATCATCTGAAAAGAGTCGAGTTTCTTAATTTCTATAAGGAAAAGCTAATACTTGATTTAGCACGTTGTTTACTAAGCATGGAGATGCATCGGAGGAAATGGTTTTTAGATAGGATTGTGAAGAAGGCAAGTTTCATGAGAGGGCAATGGAGACTATGAATGAGGTGTCAAAATTTCACAAAGCTTCCTCAAATGTCAAACTCATTACTCTTAATGAGATTAGTCATTATCAGCTTTCTGGTAAACCGTAAGTAGTACCTACCTATTCATGTTACAAGGTAACTAGATTTCTTGATCTCATGTGATTTGTATGTTTGTACCACATGACTTCATGTTGCTTCATTTTAAGGACAATTGTGTTGGGAGATGTATTAAAGTTTGGGTTAAATGCACATACTAGTCAATAGCTACATGTTTGAGGCTGATTTTAATCTTGTGAAAAAATTATGAATCTTACCCATTACTCGATCCAACTATTTGACCTCAATAAATATTACAAATATGGTTATGGTTGTTGAACACGCCTTTTTATATGGGAAACAACAATACTTTTATCAAAGACACTTAAGAAGAACTTACACTTTGTGAGACTACTACACACCTTGCTTTCTTTTGAGGCTTTCTTGGATACTTGGATGTTGGGATGGTTTGGAGCAAATGAACTCCACGCCTATTTATAGGTGTTTCCACCTCCTTATAGGAAGTTTCTAGATCTACATACATTCATGACTATTCTAGAACTATCTACCATATTTTATATCTATTACAAGCTTTTATATGTTTCTAGAATGTTCTATAATGTCCTAGATAAGTATAGACATTCTTGTGTCTTCCATAGTGTTCTAGAATGTTCCATAGCCTTCCAGGGTCTTCCATCTCGTTCTAGAGTATTCTAGAATCTTCCGGCATCTTCAAGACTCCTCCATAGTATTCCATAATGTTTTAGAATCTTCCAGATCATTCTAGAACATGCTAACTTCTTCTAGACAATAACATGATTCTATTGGGCTAGTGATGACCTTCAACACTCCCCCTCAGCACTAGCCCCTATTCGTTGTACCATGTTGAGCTGATAATTAAAGCCCTCATATTTTTCAGTACTTAACCCTTTGTGAACTCCATTTGCTACTTGGTCATTAGTCTTGATATGTTTCATATTGACTTCTTCCTTGAGAACTTTTTCTCTTCCACATGTTTTGTTTTTCCTCAGTTGCTGCAGTCGTTGCTTCGTATATTGTTTCCATAGTTGACAACGACATTCGTGGTTGCCTTTTGTTGCACCATAATATTGTTCCTGACCCCGTTGAACTCTCTTATATAGTTTCTTATGCCTCCCGTTGGCAAACTTGTAAGCATGTGGGTTGTCCCTTTTACAAGCCCTGGAAAATTCCCGTAATATTAGCATGTTATGACGTGATCCCATATTGATCTGATCATCTCGTTTAGATGTTGCTTGGTTGAGAGATTTTACTTTGCTCTTACGAATTAATGTGTTTTTCTTCTTATTCGCCTTATCCAGTTTCTCCATCACATGTTCCACTTTTCGTCTAAGATGCGAGTTTTTATGTAACCCTGGTGACATTATGTTCTTATTCTCCTTCGGAATGTCCATCTTTGAGGGAACAATTTCCTCCTTCAAGGCTGTCATAAACTTTGCCTCACTCTTCTTGAGACCTTTGTCGAGTTGCATAGTTGATAGGATTCGGGATCCAATCCTATTTCTCTTCAAGGGTACAATGTAAATTATTGAACCCTTAGTGATACGCATGGTATCATCTCTCTCAAATGACCAGGGTCGTACGTTGTCTAGGAAATCCATTCTTAATACCATACGATAGTCATCCATATGCACCACTGTCAAGTCTATGGTGCCTTCCCATTCTGCAATCTTAAGAGGCACTCCATATGCAACACCAATGATAGGCTTGGGTAAAGAGTTGACGACTTTCAACCGGCCTGGATTTTTGGTGTATTTGATGCCCAACTTCCTAGCTTCATCTTCAGCAAGGAAATTATGAGATGCACTTGTATCTACCAATGCCTTGATGTATCCTCCATTTACCCTGGCCTCCAGGAACATTAACCGTCCTCTTTTAGTCTTATTCTCTTCTATAGCAAATAGTGCCTCAGCATCCCATTCATCCTTTACTTCCTTTTTGGAAGTTACTACATTGCTTTCCACAGACTTTTTCTTTGACCATCAATCCTTGAACATGTGGCCCCACTTTCCACAATTGTTGCAGTTGCCTTCGAACCTCCTCACCCGAGAACTCTTATTGTCGGTCTTTTGAGATCTCCATGGTTGTGAGGTTCCTTGCTGACTCTTCCCTTTGTCAACATTTTTGTATCCTTCTTTAGAAGGTGGCTTGAAATTCCTCCGACTTTTGCTTGTGTAGAGTGCTTCCTCTTCACTCTTTAGCGTGATGCCTCCTATTTGCTTAGCCATATCTTCTTGGCTGGCCAACAAATTCTCAAACTCTACAAGTGATGGTTGAACGGGCCATCCTTGTACAGCAGTAACGAAGCTTCTATATTCCGGCCTCAGTCCATGGATGATGATCCTCTTCATTCGAGCTTCTGTAATGACGGATTGTGCATCTAGTTCAGTAATCTCCCGACATATCGACTTGACCTTGTGGAAATATTGAGCAATCGTCATGTCACGTTGTGAAATTGATAATAGCTCGTTCTCCAAAAGTTGTAGTCTCGTATCATTCTTCTTTGAGAAAAGCGTCACGAACGTGTCCCAAGCTTCTTTCGGTGTGTTCTCGTCCCGAATATGCTCCAACATCTCTTCTTCGATTGTGGTCTTCAAGGCAAACATTGCTTTGCCTGCTTTGATTTTCCATTTGCGCAAAGCGCCATTAACGTCTTCCTCTGGTGGCGTAGTTTCGCTTTCACCAACGACCTCCCATAGATCTTGTCCTTGTAAGTAGGACTTCATACATGTTTCCCACGTTTTGTAGTTGTTGTTGTTGAGTTTCTTGATTCCTCCGACGACTTGGAGATCACCCATCGTGTTGGCAGTACCTCGATAATACCAAACAAGCTAGTTTCGACACTAAACTTGCAGAGTCACAAACTACTCACGATACAACGAGAATCACTCGTTCTCACTATCAAGAAACCTTGCTCTGATACCAGATTGTTGAACACGACTCTTTATATGGGAAACAACAATACTTTTATCAAGACACTTAAAAAGAACTTACACTTTGTGAGACTACTACACACCTTCATTTCTTTTGAGGCTTTCTTGGATACTTGGATGCTGGGATGGTTTGGAGCAAATGAGCTCCACACCTATTTATAGGTGTTTCCACCTCCTTATAGGAAGTTTCTAGATCTACATACATTCATGACTATTCTAGAACTATCTACCATATTTTATATCTATTACAAGCTTTTATATGTTTCTAGAATGTTCTATAATGTCCTAGATAAGTATAAACATTCTTGTGTCTTCCATAGTGTTCTAGAATATTCCATAGCCTTCCAGGGTCTTTCATCTCGTTCTAGAGTATTCTAGAATCTTCCGGCATCTTCAAGACTCCTCCATAGTATTCCATAATGTTCTAGAATCTTCCAGATCATTCTAGAACATGCTAACTTCTTCTAGACAATAACATGATTCTATTGGGCTAGTGATGACCTTCAACAATGGTATGTAGAACTAGGTGTCCACAATGTTTTGACACTTTGTTGTGAATGTTAATGTCTAACATGATCTTTGCTTTAGAATTTTAAGAAACAGTACGCAAAATGGGGGAATCATCATTTGTTATAACTAGGTATCATATGTTTATGTTGTCTTTTTTTCTTTTCTTCTCTTCTCTTCATTTATGTTGCCTCAAAGTACAATCTTTAATCGTTGTGTATACAAGATTGTAATTCACATTGACTAGTACTGTTAGGTCTCCAGTTAATAATTATGTTAAAATCTTTAGCATCCAAGCAAGATAGATAAATAATCTGTTTCAACAACTTTCTAGTCGATTTTGAAATAAATCTGTGAACTTTGCCAATTGTAATTGTTAAATTGATGAATCAATACAAATCGAAATCCATCTGTGTGGTAATAAAACATATAGTGTTCTACCTATGAAGCTGTTTACTTTTGCGGGAATATTGTATCCTTGCTACTTCCATTTCTTAAACATCTACAATTTGATAAGAAAATTATTATTGTAGTTTAATTGATATCTTGTCGTGATAAATACGAAAAATGATAATTTTCGTATGTTGATGGCATTTATGTTTTGGGATAGCACTGATTTAAAAGTATTCGATGTTTAGTAATGATTTTATTGATAATAGCATAAAATAAAGAAAAAGGGGTGGATGCTATCCTTTATTATTGAGTTTCTCAAGGACTTGAAAACCTATTTCAAATTTGGCGGACGTGAGTGAATTCCTAAGCATGTCACTTACATCCTGTTATGGTTTAGAATTTTGCAATAATCTATGTTGGAATTTTGTAATAATCCTTTATTGGCCAATCATCTATCAAGTTTTTCTAACTTGTGCCCATTTACTGTTTAATGTTTATTGTGTAATTGATGATTTTGGTTATTTATTGTAAACCAAGTCCACAAAATGGTGTATGTAATTTGTCCTTGATGATAAACTTCAACTTTTTCAGGGACAGACCACAATCACCCACCTAGTTCTCAGAAAATTATCATGCTTTGCTTTAGAAATCTGTATGTACTTTGACTTTTGTCACCATAAAAGCTAATCCAAACATTTTTTTAAAAACTTTATTTACCATCACTATAAGTCAATAAACACTTTTCCTAAAAACATTTTGGAGTTCAAAAAACAACCCCTTTGCTCGACCCGACAGGTTTGAAACTAAAATAAAACCGGAAAATGACTTATCATGGTAAGTATGTTTCAAAATCGTTCAAAAACCACCATCTAAGTTTGGTATGTTCAAAAAACACCATCCAAGTAAGGTCTTTGTACAAAAAACACCAACAAACTATAGGTTTTGTTCAAATCACACCCACTAGTAACTGGCATATGTATGTGACAGAAAATATATTACCTGTAAAAAATAATTAAGGGAAAATAAAAAGTGACATGGCATTCTAACGTGGATTGAGAGAAAGGACTTAACATTGCGAGTGAAGCACAGAAGCGCACATAAGCTCTCTAGGGTTCGATCGATCAACCCTCCTTTGCTTAAATTGATTTTTACAGCCAGTCGACCAATCATTCCTCCTCTGCTCAAATCGATTTTATGCCCATTTAATTTGTATGTTTTTAGCATGTTTGTGGGTTCTGCTGTAATCTGACCAAATTGCCCATGTAAATAGCAGCACATGACCAAATTGCCCCTGTAAATAGCAGTACACATAAAAATTCTGTTTATTGAAAGACATGTTATAGCAATGTACTTTGTAGCAATTCAGTAATTTTTTCATACAGTAAAATTTTCAATTCAGTAAAAATTCTGATGCACATTTTATAGAAGCACTTGTTATAAAAATGTACTTTGTAGCAATTCAGTAAATTTGTCAATCAGTAAAATAGCAATGCATCACAGAAGCAAAGGATGCTAAATAAATGAAAATTCAATTTTTGTTGGATCTGGTAGCTTAAGGGTAAAATAGCAACAGACTTCAAGTTTTTTTTTTTGCTGATATATTCCCATATTTTTTTGATTCTTTTTTCTTAGGGTTAGCATGAAATACCAAAGTACTTTTGATTCTGTTGACCAAATTGCCCATAAAGACCATTTTACAATGTTATAACAGTGAATCTAATGCAACTTCTGGTAGCTTTTTTTGCTGAATGATGCTTTTTTGATAGATGGAACTTTAGATGCTAATTTAGGGACATTAAGCGTCCCTTTCACTGCAATATATCCTAACAAAATTCTATAGTCAACTGTTTTGAAGAAGCATCAGTTTTTTTATACTATTAGATATATATTACCTTTCATGTATTCTTTTAAGTCCTCCTTCAGATATCTTCACCCAATAATTCGGGTCCTCCTTGCATTTTTTAAAGAAATTAACCATAGTGACTGCTACACTATCTGGATGATACAGATCAATGTGGTAACCTGACACGACATATTCAATAATCTCAGTTGGACCACCATGGCAGTTGGCAAATGTTGGAAGCCCACATGTCATGGACTCCACTACTGTTGACGTAAGGGAAGCCAAGAATAGCAATGCACAATTAGGGGAAAAATTGTCCAGCACCATAACAGAACCTTGCTAGAGATCAACAGGAGCCGTATGCATCAATTGTGCCCTAAATCTATTTATTAAGGTGGATTTTTCATTTGTTGAGCAGATTTGCCAACTCACCACCTAAATATGGTAACTCTACAAAAATATGCCAACTCAGCAAAAATATGTTAACTCATATGCTCATCTGAAAGAGCCCGATTAACTTAAAGGTGAGATTTAAATAAAATTGTATAGCGTGTTGTGTTTTTTTTGTATAAAAACGTTAGATGGTGTTTTTGGAAATTGATAAACGATTTTGAAACCCTCATAACTTATTTACCCAAATAAAACGCAATCAAGAAGGAACGCGCTAGGAAAATCAAATTATCCAGAGGTCCAACGGACAGAAATTAGTGAATTTTGATCTTAAAACTTGATAACACCAAAAATAATCACTTCTCAGTTGCAATCAGGTAAAATAAATATCTCGATTATGTGATTTTTATTGATTTGACATTTCAAAATTTGATTAATTGATTATCTAGGGTTTTAAGTCTAGTACTATATCATTTATTTGTGATCCTATGGAATTCTTATTCGTGTTATTGTTTGTTAAATACCAATTTCAACCACAAGTGTGATACAGCCAAGGCGGTCAGAATGGAAACCCTAATTTAAGAACTGTTAAGGAAAATAAAACACACAAGTGTTATTTTGTTGTTTGGATAATTCAATGTTAAGCAACATAAAACATTTTCTATGACAATTGTAAATGTCACTGTATGTAGAAGCTGTACCTTGTAGTTGTTCACAAGCTGTTTGATAGAATGTCTGTATAGGCTTTAATGATTTGTTTGTTATTCTGAATGAGTTTTCAGTCGAAGAGGCATGAAGAAGTCCAAGCAAGCAAAGGCATCAGAGCATGAAGATGGTGTTGATATGATCAGTAACTTACCGGATCCCATTCTTCACTTCCAACTACTGAAGAAGTAATTCGAACCAGCATATTGTCGACACGATGGAGGTATCTGTGGAATTTAATTCCATCTATAGACATAGATTCTTCCAGAGGAATGAAATTTGATAGGACCAAATTCAAAAAGTTTGTGTATCACGTTTTAGCAAACAGTTCCCTTGATTTAAACAGTTTTCGTATAAGTTGTTCGGATCTCTACAGTATATCTACAGTATATCAGTGGATTGAAGCCGCCGTTTTGAGAAACATCAAACAACTTCACTTGTCGTTTTGCTCTGAGGATTTGTTTAAACACATCGAGTTGCCCCATTGTCTGGTGACCTGTGATTCGTTACAGGTATTGCGGGTGTTTTTGTATGAACAAAGGCGTTTCATTTTGCCTAATTTTACAGGGTTTCAGTCACTTAGGGTTCTCGAGTTGAAAAATGTTGAGTTATACAAAGATTATTTAGTAAAAAATTTCCTTGAAAGCTTGCCATTGCTTGAGGATCTGAGTTTGATAGACTGTGCGATAAACAAACTCCAAATTCTTTATATTTCATGTCCGAAGCTCAAGAATCTCAGACTCGATAACAGGAATTTATTCTCTTTTGAAGACTTGTATGATGTTGACTTTCTCTGTGATTGCATAAAGATTGTTTGCCCAAAACTGTTGTTTTTTGAGTTTAGAGCTTTTTTAGCTCTCAAGTATATCTTTAGAAGTCTGGGTTTAGTGAAGAAAGCTGTGATTCATCCTGAAGAGTTTCCATCTGAATGTATGGACTACATGTTTCGGGGAAACTGTTCTTTAGAATCTTTGTCCACCAGTATTTACATCCTCTGTTATTCTCTATGTCCATCAGGTAGTTGCTTAGTCTCGATCTCCATATATAAATCTTAATTTTAGTTGAAAAAAGTATATGCAGTGTAATTATTATATAATTTTTTTCTGGCATCTTCAAGTATATCTGTGTTGTCATAGTTCATACTTCATTGAAAATTCTAGACACCCATTGCATTCATCACCTCTACAGAAAAGGCTCTATCCAACAATTCCTTTATAGTTGTGCACTTTTGCCAAAATAATATAATTAAAAATCTGTGATTAAATATTCAGGTGTTCCTGTATCTTTACCTCATCTCAAGACATTGGAGCTAACCATAGGAAGTGATACTCCGGTCATCAGTAAATTCATAAGATTTCTCACACATCTTCCCCATTTGGAGTCTCTCCATTTGATCATTGAAGAGGTATTCTTATATAAATTTCAGATAGTATTTTTATGCATCTGAATCTTGAAGCACATAGCTCACTTTAGTTAGGATCTTTGCACCTAACATGAAAACTTCATTTTTTTTTTACTTTGATGATCTAGAAATATATTTGGTGGGAAGACTGGAAGTTGGATGAAGCGGAAACGAGGGGAATCTTGACTCGCCATCTGAAAAGAGTCGAGTTTCTTATTTATTATAAACAAAAGCAAATACTAGATTTAGCACGCTGTTTACTAGAGCATGGAAATGCATTGGAGGAAATGATTTTCAGATGGGATTGTGATGAAGCCAAGTTCCATAAGAAGTCACTGGAGACGATGGAGGAGGTGTCAAAATTTCACAAAGCTTCCTCAAATGTCAAACTCATTACTCTTAATGAGATTAGTTATTATCGGTTTTCTGGTAAACCATAAATAGTACCTACCTATTCATATGTCATGGAGTGACTAGATTTCTTGGATGCCTTTTGTATTTGAAATTTTGCATCACCCGACTTTATGTTGCTTCATTTTAACTTAGCAACTAGAAAATATTAGATTGATACTTTGGTTATCTAGTTTTGTTCATTTTCTGCTAATGAAACTACTTATTTGTTTTCTAACTCTACTTTAATCATTTGTTTGTTTTATTATGATGTTGTCACGATTTTGATTAAGGTCAAGTGTGTTGGGAGATGTATAAAAGTTTGGGCTAAATGCACATACTGGTCAATACTGAATAGCAACATATTTGAGGCTAATCGTAATCTTGCAAAACAAATTATTGGAGATCAAACTAATATGGAAAAGTGGATTATAACCGGTTGCTTGATAAACATAATCTAAAATACTGTTGTGTACTGATCATTAAATAAGCAATCCAAAATTCTAAACACCCCTTAACTAATTTACATTTCATAGGTTTAAAACTCACAAAAAAAACAAAACACAAATCAAGAAGGAACGCGCTAGAGAAATTAAATATCCTTCTACATTTTATTCCTACTTATCCTCCTACCATATCAAATGTTGACATGTGTCACATTTAATTACATATTATATATATTAAAGCACATGGAAAGTTTCAACAGGAAACTTTCCATGTTTATAATTTTAACACTATATTTTTACTTTTTCTTAATTTTGCCACTAAATTTTCAACAAACTTTTCATTTTTATAATTTTGCCCCTTTATTTTTACTTTATCATATTTTTGCCACTAAACATTCACTTTTACTTCTTTAAAACCCTTTTTCTTTATTATTTTATAATTTTACCACTTTATTTTTACTTTTTTATAATTTTGCCATTAAAGTTTCAATAAACTTTTCCTCTTTATAGTTTTGGTACTTTATTTTTACTAATTTTGCCATTAAAGTTTCAACAAACTTTTCATCTTTATAATTTTGACATTTTATTTTTACTTCTTTATATTTTTGCCACTAAACTTTCACCCGGCACTGACGAGCTTTTCCTAGTTATAATAAAAAAGAAGGCGGGAAACAAAATAAATTCGGATATCAAATAGGTCCCTACAGAAGCACCGGATGTCGTCCAGAAGTCCAATGGGAAGAAATCAGCGAACTTTGTTCTTATAACTTAATACACCAAAAATAATCACTGCCCAATTTCAATCAGTTAAAATGAATATCTCGATCATGTGATTTTTATTGATTTTACATCTGATTGTCTTCGGGTTTCTATTCGTGTGTTATTGTTTGTTATATACCAATTTCAACCACAAGTGAGATACAGCAAGACGACCAGAATGGAAACCCTCGTTTTAGAACTGCAAGGAAAATGAAACACACAAGTGTTATTATGTTTCATTGATTGGATAAATAGATGTTAAGCAACATAAAAACGTGTTGTATGACAAACGCACACTCTTTCACTGTATGTAGAAGCCGTAGCTTGTTGTTCACAAACTGTTTGATAAAATGTCTGTGTAAGCTTTAACGATTTGTTTGTTATTCGAAATGAGTTTTCAGTAAAAGAGGCATGGAACTGACCACGCAATCAAATGCATCAGAGCATGAAGATGGTGCTGATATGATCAGTAACTTACCAGATCCCATCCTTCACTTTATTCTTTCAAGTCTTCCAACTACCGAAGAAGTAATTCGAACCAGCATTTTGTCGACACGATGGAGGTATCTGTGGACTTTAATTCCATCTATCGACATAGATTAATCCAGAGGAATGAAATTTGATAAGTCCATATTCAAAAAGTTTGTGTATAACGTTTTAGAAAATAATTCCCTTGATTTAGACAGCTTCTCTTTAAGTTGTGCGGATATCTACAGTAGGTGGACAGTAGAGCAGTGGATTGAAGCCGCCGTTTCGAGAAACATCAAACAACTCCACTTGTTGTTTTCTTCTGAGGATTGGTTTAAACATATCGAGTTGCCCTATTGTCTGGTGACCTGTGATTCGTTACATGTATTGTGGGTGTTTTTGTATAAACAAAGGCGTTTGATTTTGCCTAAGTTTACATGGTTTCAGACACTTAGGGTTCTCGAGTTGAAAAATGTTGAGTTATACAAAGGTTATTTAGTAAAAAGTTTCCTCAAAAGCTGCCCGTTGCTTGAGGATCTGAGTTTGATGTGAGATAAACAACCTCAAAGTTCTTTGTATTTCATGTCCGAATCTCAAGAGACTTAGACTTGATAACCGGAATATCTTCTCTTTTGAAGACTTGTATGATGTTGACACTCTGTTGCCCAAAACTTGTGTTTTTTGAGTTTGGAGCCTTTGTAGCTCCTAAGTATGTGTTTAGAAGTCTGGGTTTAGTGAAGAAAGCTGTGATTCATCCCGAAGAGTTTCCATCTGAATATATGGACTACATGTTTCGGGGAACTTGTTCTTTAGAATCTTTGTCCACCAGTATTTACATCCTCTGTTCCTCTCTATTTCCACCAGGTAGTTGCTTATTATCTCCATGCATAAATCTTCATTTTAGTTAAAAAAATATGTATGCAGTGTAATTCGTTTTCTTTTTTGGCATCTTCAAGTATATTTGTGTTATCATAATGTTGAGAATCCTAGATCCCTATTGCTTGATACACATTGCATTTGATTCATCACCTCTACAGAAAAGGCTCTATCCAAACTATTCCTTAATAGTTTTGCCAAAGAAAAAAAGTTAAAAATCTGTGATGAAATATTCAGGTGTTCCTGTATCTCTACCTAAATCTCAAGACATTGGAGCTAACCATAGGAATTGATATCCCCGTCATCAGTGATTTCATCGGATTTCTCACATGTCTTCCCCATTTGGAGTCTCTCCATTTGATCATTGAAGAGGTATTCTCATATAAATTTCAGATTGTATTTTTATGCATCAGAATCCTGAAGCACATAACTCACTTTAGTTTGAATCTTTGCACCTCAACATGAAAACTTAATCTTTTCTTTTATGATCTAGAATATTTGTTGGGAAGACTGGAAGTTGGATGATGCTGCTGAAACGAAGGGAATCTTGACTCAACATCTGAAAAGAGTCGAGTTTCTTATTTTTTTTATAAACAACAGCAAATACTAGATTTAGCACGTTGTTTACTAGAGCATGGAAATGCATTGGAGGAAATGGTTTTCAGATGGAAATGTGATGAAGCTGAGTTCCATGAGAGGTCTATGGAGACAATGAAGGAGGTATCAAAATTTCACAAAGCTTCCTCAAATGTCAAACTCATCGTTCTTAATGAGGAGATTAGTTATTTACCGATTTTCTGGTAAACTATAAATATTGCCTACCTATTCATATGTTATGGTGGAGTCACTAGATTTCTTGGTCTCATGTTGATGCCTTTTGGATTTGTATTTTTGCATCACCCGACTTCATATTGCTTCATTTTCACTTATCAACTAGAAAATATTCGATTTGGTACACTTTGGTTATCTAGTTTTGTTCATCTTCTGCTAATGAAACTACTTGTTTGTTTTCATAACTCCATTTTAATCATTTGTTTGTTTTATTAATGATTCTGATTAATGACAGTTGTGTTGGGAGATTTGGGCTCTTTATTGTAAACTGAGTCTATAAAAAATAGTGTGTGTAATTTGTCTTTGATGTTAAACTTCTAACTTTTCAGGGAGAGAGTACCACAATCACCCGAGTAGTTCTCAGGAAATTATCAGATGACGTTCAATTTTGAGGATTGTGACATTTCTATGGGTTAATGCGTAGTGTGCATTTAAGTCAAAAATTTGACTATTGATCATTTTTATTAGCCTATACCCTATAAACCAATAGGAATACTTTATAAAAATAATTCATGTTACTACCACATAATTTAAGAAGCCCTTTTAACGAAAAATATTTTTTTATTTTCAAAACTCAATTCCAAAGCCTCCCAAAACATAAAACAGACAAAATGACATTTCGCAAATACACCCCACAATAATTTCTGTACGACATGGTATTAATTAAACACCCCCCCAAATACACTTTCCCATATCCTATTTTAAGATTATTATTAGGCCACAACAAGAGTTTCTGTAGATTTCTTGATTTCAGAAGATGCTTTCTTGGAGACTCTTCTTCTACATCTCTTTTCTCTTCCTTCATCAATTCCCATCTGTTCTTGTCTGCATTCTTGACTACAAAATGGAGTGTTCCCTCTGTACGTACCACATGATATGATTAACCCAATATTATTATTTTATAATTAACAAATACCCATTACGAATCTAACAATTAATTAAGGAGCTATCAAAATCAAATGCTACAAAATAATTAATGCATCAACTTATGTTTGGCTTTTCCCAAAAAACTAAGAACCATTGTAAAGTCGGCATTTCTAAACTGGCACTAAAATCAGAAGCAGTTTTGTCATGGTACAATTAGTAATGCACAACGTACAATCTCCCGAAGAACAAATAGAAAAAGGAAAAGTCGTCGAAATGAATCATACATACCTGTACATAAAGATGTCACTGTTTTGGCCCAACGGCTTCGAGCAAAGAGTACAAGCTTCAAGAAAATGGGGATCTTCACACCCGGAGTAAGATAGCGAAGCAGACTTCATTGCTGTAAAAAGTCGAGCAAGAAAGGCTTGGGTGGGGATGGTGGGTGCTAAGATGCGCCTACTGCGTAGGTTAGTATATGTAGGCTAGGAAGGAGCAAGCTTTGCTTTGGTGTGAAGTATTGATTCAGAGAAAGGCGAATATTTATGGAGAGACTATAAATTGAGGTGGCGTACAGCATGGAATCTGGATGGTCCCTAATGCATGGTCTCGACACGTGTGACATGGCAAGATGGGCTTTAAATCACTCTCGTTTTGTAACCCAAGGGGAGTGAATCTTTTCTTTCTAGTACATGATTCATTAATTGCATCTCTTTTTTTACTATTTGGTCCTTCTTTTTGAAACATTAACTTATATAGAGATTTCTAGTTTTCATTCTATCTTATTGTCCAATTTTTTTGTACATATAACACAAGGGATAGTTTTTGCCCAATTTTTTGTGTACATATTGTCTCTTTAAGTCCTCTCTAATATATTTAGACCTCTCGGATGTTATTATGGAATTGGTCTCTATCTCTATCTTATGAAAGAGCTTGTTTACACTCTATCTTTTTGTTACTTCATTTATACTAGATCTCATGTGAGTATTATTGATGTTGTTGGATGTTGTTTTTATTATAGATGGATAGGCGATGGAGACAACCGATTGGAAGATGGAGATTTGGTGGTCATAAGAGACAGGGTTGCGGGGGAGTGTGGAGAAATCAATCGACAGTGTTTGTTTGACATAGAATAAGATAAAGGGAGGGAGTGGCGTTGGACGTCATGTGTACCGTCAGGCGGTGGAATACTTCCAGAAGCATAAGACTACATTGACAGCTCAAACCCAACCGACAACAACAGAAGAATATCAGCCATAGGAGCCAAAACCGGAAATCACCGGCTCAAACCTTGACAATGTTCCTAACCGTGAGGGAATTTAAATAAGTATATGAATTATAATTTTAGTCTTTTTGTTTTACTCAAAATCTCAAGTACAAATTTAGTCTCTTTGTTTTACTCAAAATCTCAAATATACTTCAAAATTTAAAATTAACAAAACTGCAAAATGGTTCTGTTCAAACCCTTCAAAAATTGGACTAAGAGTCATTTTCAACAACTTTGTTTGTTTTTGGTCCTTACCCAAACTAAAAAAAACTATTATACTCATCTTCCTAATTTTTAAGATTTTTTTTTAAATCTAATAAATACTAAAAAGAAACGGCCATCTCTCTCTCTCTCTCTCTCTCTCTCTCTCTCTCTCTCTCTCTCTCTCTCTCTCTCTCTCTCTCTCTCTCTCTCTCAAAACATATGTATGCCCAGTTTCCCAAAGATTCATAAAAATTATTTAGAATATATAATAGAGATAACGACATAAAAACCCTTAAGTTTGCAAGTTTTTTTCGGTTTTACCATTTTGTCTATTTTAGGTTAAAAGGTAAAATAAAATCAATTTTATTTATGGTTTATTAAAGCTCTTACATTTGACAAAATTTCAGTTTTACCTTTTTTCTGGTTCATAAAAGCCCTTAAGTTTGATATTCTAGTTCATTAAAGCCCTTAAGTTTGACATAAATTTTCAATTTTACCAGATAAATTTGCAAAAAGGAAGTTGCAAATTTGAGGCATTAATAGACCTAAAATACGACTTTGGGTAACATCGACAAAAACTTGCAAATGTAAGGGGTTTTATGGCATTTTCCATGTATAATACACCCATTGAACTTGGTCTCTCTCTCTCTCTCTCTTTCTCTCTCACATACACACACACTGTGACATCTCGGAATTTAGGTCACAGAATGTGAACGATTATTTACAGTAAATCTCTTTGTAATTTGACTTATTGAGTTTTAGTGTAACGCCCGGTTCCTGGTACGTATTTTAAATAAGAATTATGCATTTTTACAAAGGGACTCGACGAGTTGGAGGCCCCAAACTCATCGAGTAGGAATGTGAGGAGTTTGGACGCGGGACTCGAAATCTACTTGACGAGTCGAGAGCCTTGACTCGACGAGTAGGGTTGCCAGAGTGAAACCCTAATTTTTAGGGTTTGCACCCTATTTAAACACTTTATCTGGCCTCAACTTCAGCCTCCATTATCTCCAAACACCAGTCACGAAACCCTAGCCCATTTTGAGTGTTCTTGAGCCATTTTTGTGTGTTTTTGGTGGTTTTGAAGCTTGAGAAGGAAGAGGAAGCTTGGGAGATCAAGAGGAAGCAAGTAGATCCAGAGTTTGTGCTCCATTTCCAGTTCATTTGAGGTATAAAGTCTATACCTTGTCCATTCATTTACTAGATCCCTTCATGGTGTAGTTTAGGGCTTTTTGGAGCATAATATGGGACCATTCGTGGATGGAAGCATGTTTGGGGTTAAGACTTCAGATCTGGAATCTTTGAGGGACTCCATGGCATAAAGGTGCCAACTTTATGGCCATGGGAGTCCCATGCAACTTGTGAACCTCATTTTAAGGCCTTTTGAGCTAGATAACCCATGCATGAACGTAAATTTTGTAACTTTACGTGTTGTATCGACCCTAGGAGGCCAAATCTACGTTTTGGATGCATTAAACCCGACTAAAATCGACTGTATGGATTTAGACTTTGGGGAACACGACGAGTCGTTCTTAGGACTCGACGAGTTGGGTCGTGGTTCCCCAACCTTTACTGTTACTAAGCAAACTTGTTGAGTCTAGAAGATGACTCAGCAAGTTGGACGTGTTTAAGGACTGGAAGATCAAAGAACTCGCCGAGTCCAAGGATGGACTCGGCGAGTTGATGCGCAAATGTCCCGACTTGTATGAAGGAGAACTCGACGAGTTCAAACAGAAAGTCCCGATTCTGTCATAAGGAGAAACTCGGAAAGTTAGAGAGTAACTCGACGAGTTAGATCGCGAGTTCGAGATTCTCTGAATTATGGGACTCGACGACAAACCAACTCGGCGAGTCGAGTCAACCAGAATGTTGACTTGGACCAGAAGGTTGACTTTGACTAGGATGTTGACCTTTGACTTGACCATAGACCAGAGTTGACCCTTAAAGGGGTTATAAGTTTGAAAGAGTAATTAAAAGAGATGTTATGTGTAGGAGTTTGAGGAGAGTTGATCCCAACACCGAGGACAGTTCAGTTACTGCACGACATTGAGGTGAGTTACCTTCCAGTAGAAGTGGTCTAAGGCCACAATGTCAGCCCACTAGTAGGAGTTGTTTGTTAGAAGATTGTCTTTGTGATAATTTTCTGGTATGCCACTATATGTTATGTTTTATGTTCTAGTATGGTATGATGTCATGTGATAGTGGTAGTAGGGGGAATAGTCCCCGTATCAGGTCGAAAGGACCAAAGGGGTAGGTCGGGCACCCCGTTATGCCTGACAGTATGATTATGTTATGTTGTTATGTAGTAGTAGTAGGGGGTGAAATAGTCCCTGTAACCGATTGAGATAAACCGGAAGGGTAGGTTAGGCACCCCGGTATGCCTAGCAGGGGTAGGTTGAGCACCTCGGTATGCTCAACAGGGTAGGTCGGGCACCCAGATATGCATGGCAGTACGTTTATAGTATGGTATGTGGTATGATGGGGGAACTCACCAAGCTTTGTGCTTACGGTTTTTAGTTTTTGTTTCAGGTCCTTCTTCTTTGAAGGGAAAGGAGCCTGAAACAAAAACTGCAAACTTTATGAGATCCAAGACACCAGTAGATCACCTTGACTTGGAGATTCATAAAGTTGCAAACTTTATGAGATCTAACCATTCCAATTTTCAAGAATAAGAAACTAAAGGGACAAAACTCAAGATCTAGCAACTTGGAATGATAAAAATCGAGTCTTGGACACTTACAAAGGTCTAGAAGAGTGCCAAACTGAAGAATGACGGTTTGCTTGCTGGATCTTTGCTTCCTACTTCCACCTTCTTCCTTATTTAGCTTCAAGAGCACCAAACTAGCTCAAAAATAGGAGGGAAAGATGATTAGGGTTGCAAAGGACGATTTGGGGGAATGGAGGTTGACAAAGAGACCAGCCCTTGGGGACTTAAGGAAATTATATAGGGTGCAACACCTTAAAAATTAGGGTTTCCTCCCCAGCTGTCAACACGCCGTGTTGAGACACCAACACTCCGTGTTGGTCCAATAAACTTCGCGGGCCAAAGTCTTATCGCAACGCCGTGTTGAGGCTTCACACGCCGTGGCCAAAGAGAAATCATGAACAAATTGGAATTAGTTTCATACCTGGAATCGAGCGTTACAATTATCCCCCACTTGAATCAGACTTTGTACTCTACGTCCACCAACTCAAATAACTCTTGGTAGTACTCTCTCATCTCATCCTCAGGCTCCAAAGTCCACTCTGATCCCTTGTGGTGTTGTCACTGCACCTTCACCAGCTCGACAACCTTATTCCTCAAGGTTTTCATCTTCCTATATAAAATCTCTACCGGTCTCTCAATATAATTCAGGTGGTCATCTACCTGAATATCCTCCAATGGCACAACTGCAAAATCATCCACTAAAAACTTCTGCAACTGAGAGACGTGGAATGTGCTATGAATCTGACTGAGTTCATCTGGAAGATCCAAGTGATAAGCAACCCGGCCCACCCGAGCCAAAACCCTGAAAATACCAAAATACCTGGGGCCCAGTTTGCCGCGCTTCCTGAACCGGATGACACCTTTCCAAGGGGACACCTTCAGGAGAACCATATCTCTCACATCGAAATCTAAGTCTGATCGGCGCCTGTCGACATAACTCTTATGCCGACTCTGAGCTGTCTGGAGCCTGCTCCGAACCTGCTGAATCAGCTCAGTGGTCTTGAGTACCACCTCAGTACTCCCCATAACTCGCTGACCGACCTTGCCCCAACAAATCGGGGTCCTGCATTTCCACCCGTAGAGCATCTCAAAAGAAGGCCGATCAATGTTGGTGTGATAACTGTTGTTATACGAAAATTCCGCTAACGGAAGATATGTATCCCAACTCCCACCAAAATCCAACACACACGCACGTAGCATATCCTCAAGAGTCTGGATAGTCCGCTTACTCTGACCATTGGTCTGCGGATGAAATGCTGTACTAAAATGGAGACGAGTGCCCAACTTTTCATGAAACCTCTTCCAAAAACCTGGAAGTAAACCGGACATCCCTGT